GTTAGCTCTCTGAGCGGTGCTGTGAGGTCTGCCAATCTCTTGGAAAACCGGTTAAGGTATGTGATGATACCAAGCAAGGATTGTAGCTCCTTCACATTTGCAGGTGGGGTGATRTTCTTGATTGYTTCAAGCTTGTCGGTCGCAGGGGAGATCCCATCAGGACTTAGTGTGTATCCAAAGAAGTTGACTTCTTGTTTCTTAAACTACAATTTTTCAGGATTTAGCTKTACATTATTGGCTCTGCAGGCTGCAAGCATGTTGGAAAAAGCTTGGTCGTGCTCCTCTTCTGTCGAGCCATAAATGATGATATCATCAGCTATGTTGGTTACGTTATCGATACCTTGGAAGACATCGTCTAGTTTTCTTTGGAACACATCTTGAGAAACTCTGACCCCGAAGGGTAGGCGTTTGAAACGGTAYCTACCAAATGGGGTGTTAAAAKTACAGAGCATACTTGACTCTTCGTCCAACTCGACATGCCAGTAACCCTTTCTGGTGTCGGSGACTGAAAAGAATTCTTTCCCATGTAGTTGAGGTAACACCTCGTCAATTGTTCTTGTATAGTAGTGCTCTCGTTTGATGTTGTCGTTCATATCTTTTGGGTCTAAACATGGCCTGACTTTCAACTTCCCTTCCTCGGTCTCCTTGACATTGCAAACAATCGAGTTCACCCATTCTGTCAGTTCGGTGACAGCAGTAATGATGTCGTCCTTGATCATATTCTCTATCTCCTCCTTGTACAGGAGTGGAGTGGCACAGTTCTGGGTGGATGGACTACTGGGGTAGCGTTGTCAAYTAGGGTTATGTGGTATTTCTGTCCGGGGAACCGTCCAATCCCATCAAAACAATCTTTGTACTCGTCCAAGACACCAGATCTGTCTAGCTTCCGATTTTGGGTTGTTGATGAATTGTTGCTTGTGACTTCTTGTATATTGACTGTAACCATTCCTAGTTGTTGTGCTTGTCGGCAACCAAACATGGATGGTTGACCAGAGGCGTTAACGATGTTGAAGGTAGTGGGTAAGGAGATGTCCTTGAATGTGATGATTAGTTCGACAGTTTCTAAGTTTTCGATGATTCCTCCTCCATATCCTTTAAGCTTGTTTTCACATGGTTGGAGATTTAGGGACAGGTCGAGGGCTTGCAAATCTYCGGTCGTCAGGACACATGTATCCGCTCCGGTGTCGACCTTTACCCTCATGTTTCGTTCGTCGTTGACTCTGATAGTAGTAAACAGCTTGTCTGGGTACTTGTCTATTTCATCAACAATATACAGATGCAATAGACCCTATACTGTGATTGGGTCAAGTTCACTATCACTACTTCCAGAATCTTGTTCGCTTCCGGTGTCTGTTTGCTCACTAGAGCTTCCATCGTCTTGTATGTAAATGTCTTCACCTTTATAGTCGGGACTTGCCACAATKTCATTRACTTGCTTAAGGCGACGCTTCATGCACACCTTCTTAAAATGGCCCTCTTTTTTGCAGTATTGGCAACGTGCATGGGTGGCTGGACACTTCTCTGTCTGGTTATGCTTGTTTCCACACCTGAAGCATCCCTCAAATTTGAATTTGTATCAGTTGGGTTCCTTTTGTTTTGGGTTGTTAAACTGTGTCGAGCCTCTATTGCGGGGTTCCATGAAAACTTTATTTCCTTTGCTTTGATGCTTTTTCTTAGTTTTTACATCATGGATGACTGGTGGCTGTGCARTGGCTTCCATCTGGCTTTTTGTGCTTTCATTTGTCTTGGCAAGATCATAGACTTGTTTGAGTGTAAGCTCATTTCCTTTCGATATGGCTTCTCTTCTGACTTTGTCTGATCTTATCCACTATTAGCTTATCGTCGTCTTTTTCCCACGTCGCGGTGTTGTAAATTTCGAGACCTTTGTCTCCGCACCAAAGTAGAAGTAATTTTGCTTTCTTGTCTTCGTCTTTGTCTTCCAATGGGCCGTCGAAAATCAATTGACACTTTTGTTGATCTTGAATCTTTTATGTAAATCTCCTGGTGAGGTCCAGTCTAAGGTCGGCACTTTGAACTCGTCCGCCATCTTGGACACGAAATTGTCTTGTAATTGAATGAAAAAGAACTGTAAAATACTTCGAAAATCTTGAAAGCACTTCGAACTCGTGTAGATGAGACTTGGGTTACTTTTCAACCACTTCTGACACCATGTTAAGGACTAAAAGACACTGTTGAAGCGTTGTTTATTCGTAGTTATCAGCCATCTTGGCTACGACTCAAATCGACCTAGTCCTACTCTTATTACATAACACAGGGATACTATAACACCAACGAACAATTTTCAATTTTACAGAAGCTGTCTTTCGGGCATGATCCTGCCATGTGACCTGCGTTCAAACAATTCTCACAAAATCCCTTTGTCCTGACAAACTTTAATCTTTCTTCCACAGACTTAGCTTTAAAATCTCCACATCGAGACAACCAATGCCCCAGCAGTCCACACATGGGACAGGTTGGACATTTTGTTTCTTCAGTAGNTATCCTTTCAGTAAACGCAGCGCTGATTTTATAATCCTGACCGTACTTTCCTTTGAGAAGTTTTCGTGCAGTAGCATAGCCTTCGTTGGGATCCATAGTTAAACAGCTCCGCATCAATTCTTGTGCATCTCCCTTTGTATACTGAATTAAATAATAGAGCCTTGCACTAGAACTGGACGTTTTTGCTTCTACGATGTTTTCGAATGCTCGAATAAACTCGCAGTAAGACGCAGGCTCACCGTTGAAAATCATCATTTCAGGTCGTGGTAAAGAAAGTGTCAAAGTTTGTTCCTTTTGCTGTTGAAGTAAGTCTTTTATCAGCAGACTTTGTTCTTGATGTGATTGTTTAAGCTCCCAAGCTCTGCAACGGTACTGTAGATTCATCATTAGATTTTGCTTCTTGTGTTTTGAGTGGTTCCTTTGGCGTTGGTTGCCATGTAGATACATTTGGGTTAAGCGGTGGACTGTAGTCACTAGGAAGTTTGAGAACGGCCTTGTCCCTTTCATTTTCATTTGGAGTAGACATGGCTTGCGTATGTCCAGACATTTCATTCGACTTTTGCATTCCAATCATTCCATTTTCGCGAGCATGGTGTGGTCCACGGATTCACATGAACTCTACATAACTCTTTCTCTTGATCCAGTTGTTTTCTTTGAAATTCAGAGTCAAGTAAACATTCTTTCATTTGTACCGACTGACGTCTTTGTAAAGTTATTGATTCCGCTTCTAAAGCAGCTCTTTTCGCTGATGCTTGCAGCCGTAATTTCGATGCTGAACTGATCTTTGAAGTATCCGATTTAACACATGATGATTTCTTCGATACTTTAGAATCCGACTTCGGCGACTTAGATTTGCGTGAAGAGACATTACTAGCTGAATCTTCGGGTTTGATTCCATCAGATAATATAGACATTTGTTCGGCAATTGTGGCTTCCACAATAGACTTTTGTCGATCGATCCAGTCGCTAACCTTAGCAAGTCAGTTAGAGACCTTCATTTCAACGCTTGTATAATATTCCAGAGATTCGTCAATGTCACATTCATCCTTTAGAGCAGAGTAATATTTGAAGTGAACATCTTTGAATAGAGACACGTGTAGCCTGGTCTACATTTGGTTGGGCATAATTTAAAATTAGACGAGAGGTACTTACCTTGAAGTGTAATTGTAATTCTTTGAGATATGTGGAGCATTATGGGATAATTATGCATACTTCCAAACTACTAACTGGTCAGCGGTCCACAACTTCAAAGCCATTCAAATGCAAATTACAGTACAGTATATATTCCCAGGTGAGAACATCAAAGTCAGTTCTTCCTGGAGTGCACAAAAATAAAATTGGCGAAGGTCCCACATGATGGGAGGGAATGACATAAGACCCACATGAAGGGTGGGAAGCATTATCCCATAATGCTCCACATATCTCAAAGAATTACAATTACACTTCAAGGTAAGTACCTCTCGTCTAATTTTAAATTCTTTTTCGATATGTTCCACATTATGGGAYAATTATGCGACTTCAAAGTACCAAAGCCAATTAGTCCACTCATGTAGCATAACATTTTAATCAGCAACATATGATTGTTGTTATCAACTAATCTTAAGGATTACATTCCCTCAAATAATATTTACGAAAGGTATGTTCATTAGTCCAATCAGCWTTATGCAAAATTTCTGAAATTGGAATTCCTTTGGCATAGGCATTACTAGTTGTAGCACTTCTAATACTATGTGCCTTAAATACTGATGTATCTATGCCAGCATCAGTCATAACTAATTTCAACCACCGAGCCAGAGTATCTGTTGAAACTGGTTTGTGTGGCTTAATGTACGACACAAATAACTTGGATGCTATAGTACCACATCGATTTCTGACATCCTGTGTGCGTGAAATATATTCTGCTAAAGTACATTTAGTACATAACTCAGGTTTGTCTCTTAAACACTCAAATTTAACTTTAACACTTTTACCCGGTTTGGACGTTTTGAGCTTCTCGGGTATAACAAAACTGATACAAGCTGGACTTTCAACTTTATAATTCAAATCGAGGGCACACAAAGTTTGCTCCCTTTGGCTGGATGATAATGCACAAAGCATTACAGTTTTCAATGTCAGCTGCTTAAGTGTGAGCTGATCCAATGGGAAGAAGGTTTTCAAATAATTCGTCACCATGGTAACATCCCAGGTTGTTGCATAGCGAGGGACTGGAGTACGCAGAGAGTAGATCCCTTTTAAAAGCCTTGTAATTAGTGGGTGCGAACCTACGGCACAGTTGTTGACAGGGCTAAGTGTGGATGATAGTGCTGATCTGTAAGAGTTCAACGTGCTGTAGCCTTTGCCTTCATCATAGCAATCAGACAAGAAGTTGCCAACCTGTTCTATAGGCGCCTGAATGATATCAACTTCCCTTTGCTTACACCAGCTACACCATCTTTTCCAAGCTGAATTGTATTGCTTATCAGTCCCAGAGGACCAAGATGAGATAATGAGGTNTTGCAGCCAATAATATGTCATCAAGAAAGATGACTATTCTAAGACCATTGAGTCGCAAATGTGACACAACCGGTTTCAAAACTTTCGTAAACACTCTGGGTGCCAAACTATACCCAAAAGGTAAACATGTAAACTGATATCTCTGTTCTCTCCAAATAAAGCGCAAATACTTTCGATGCGGTCCAAAGATTGGAACACTAAAATAAGCATCCTTGAGGTCTATTGAGATCATATAGTCCCCCTGGGAAATAAAATTCAATGCCATTTGAATATTTTCCATTTTAAAATGAATTTTCTGCATGAATTGATTCAATGGTTTTAAATTAATAACTGGCCTCATATCACCAGTTTTCTTGGGGACTAAGAATATGTTGGAAACAAACTCCTCTTTACAGGGGAAAACATATTCAATTGCTCCTTTCCCAAGAAGTTTCACAACTTCTTCATCAATTAAATTCATTTCACATTTATTAAATGGAGGAGGTGTTGGTAAACACAGTTGTACCGGTGTGCTCTCAAACTCTAAATGGTATCCTGCTATGGTTTCCAGAACCCAAGGGTCACTGGTGAGATGACGCCAGTTTGACATATAATTCATTAAATTTCCAGCATAATAGCTGGTGTTATCAGGTAAATGAATTACCTCACTTAAGCTTTGTCTTTTGTTGTGTCCCTGTACACTTTGGTGTTCGTGGTGGACTGATGCGTTGGCTGCCTTCTTTCTGCGTAGGCTGCCTTGTTTCCATATCCTAAAAAATGCCTGCGTCCACCACGTTGACTGTATCGCCCATGAGCGCTATTGCTCTTATAGTCATTATGATAACCACTGCGTCTTGATGAAGCATGCCCATGAGTGCGAGACATGGTTTTCTTTGCAATCTTGTTGACCTCACTTATCTCTTTAATATGCTTTGGCAGCTCATCGCCAAACAAATATGTTGACATGGGGTTACTTTTGCTGCATACCGACTGGTACGCCTGAGCAATGTCAGGTTTTAAGAATTCTCGCCTTTTAAGGGAAGTCAAATAAGATGCGTGGCCCAACAATGTTACTGCATCCGCTACGAGTGGAATAACAGTCGCCATTTCAATGGGCTTTTTCTCGCTCTGGTTTTTCAAAACCGAGTCCAACAGTTGAACCATGGGCTGTGCAGCTTTAACCAAGTTCTTTTGGATTTCCTGCAGCCCTAGGTCTTTTGTTTTGGTGTTTCGAGGCAAATCATGCCATAGTTCAAGGTTAACCTTGGGAACACACAGCAAACGGCAGTTTTGTGGCGTCTTGTACTTGTCTTGAATTTCCTTGAATTTAGTTTCAAGTGGTTTCTTTGAAACAGAGTCGTTTATCCTCTTTGCAACGACCTCGGACACTTCTGGACCAAAGGTCTCTGTCTCCTCAAAAATTGAGGGCAAAAATTCGCTTGATTCAAGCGTTTTAGCATTTGGTTCTGTAGACGGCACGTTTACGCCCGACAAATCCTCAGTTGGGTCGAACATTGACGCTGGAGGCGAATTAACAGAATTAACTCCCGGTTCGGGATTTCTGTTCGAAGCTACAGCTTCTAGGTTAGCAATCTTTTCGTTCATCGCTCTAAGCGTGTGCTCAATGCCTCCTAGGCCCAGTTGATCCCTTAATTCATCGATATTTTCCTCGTAGGTGTCTTCGAAACGCTCCGCTTCAATTGGAAGCCCGCTAACCTCCGTGGAAGGTTCGGTATCTGACATGGCCACGTGGAGCTTTCACTTCAACAGCGACGAAAAAACCGTATAAACTTATCGTACTGACTACTTGTGACCTGTAGAATAAGATATAAAATATATCCATTAATAGTAAACGGCCAAAATAAAGCAATCTCCAAACAATTCGAAGAAAAATTAAAAGACACGCTGACCTGAAGCACGAAAGGAAGAACTGACTTTGATGTTCTCACCTGGGAATATATACTGTACTGTAATTTGCATTTGAATGGCTTTGAAGTTGTGGACCGCTGACCAGTTAGTAGTTTGGAAGTATGCATAATTATCCCATAATGTGGAACATATCGAAAAAGAATTTAACACTGAGGGCAATATAAACTGAACTTCTGACCTTTATTCTTCTACAATCTGAACGCACACTTCACTGACTTCTAAGGTTCCTTTACTTCATTTGCGTGAGTTGCGAGAGTGMAAGTGWGTTTGTGTGGTTCACTAATAAACCAAACACAATAAACTAAGTTAACTAAGTTACAATTGAAAACAATTACATTAATAAATAATAGGAATTACCGAGAAAAACTTAATAAGCATATAGAAATAATTTTTATACACAGTATTTTGATACTAGAAAAAAGTCTACTTACAATTTAGTTGCAATTTTCCAGGTTAAAAAGGTCAAAGGGCTTGCCCTAACTTGCCCAACAGAAAACTTTTCTCTTGACTACGGTAATTAAGTACGCGTCATAGTGACRTCAATATACTAATATGGCAACACAGGAAACCCGAAAACATATGTAAATTCAAGATGGCCGCTCGTAAACACGTTTTTTGTGCTAAAAGAATTCTACTTTAAAGTGATTAAACTTGTCTGAAAAGGTAAACTAAAGGTACAAATTGTTGCCTAACAACACGGTTGTTTTCAATTGATCATATTTCGAGCTTACCTCGCTCACACTGTCCACATTATCCTTCTGGATAAGCAGTTCAATTTGATTCATAATTCGGGTGATTGTTCCTTTAAGAGTCGACCGTTTGGTCTTCAGCTGATGTAGTGTTTTGATCGAGTTTCCTCGAGTTCCATGAACAGTTGCCGAGTCAGTCATGTTGTACAGTGAAAGACGCGCAATAGTTGAATATTTCGGTAAAGTTGAATTCGTCGATCCTCAGATAGCTTGTTGTTGCGTAGTTACTAAAACATGGAACGACCCAAAACCAGCCAAAACGACCCAAAATCAGCCAAAACGACCCAAAACCAACCAAAACGGCCCACAACCAGCACAAAAACTAGCCAAAACCGCCATAAAACTGCCAAACAACTCAGGCTTATAATTTTGAAATCATAAGAAAGGGAATCTTCATTATCGCATACTTGAATCTTACCAAATTTAAAATTAAGCTTGAATTTTTCAGTTCGTTTTATCACATGCAATACATTGGACAAAGCGCTATCTTCCATCATTGCACGCAGAACAACACAGGGATCCCAGAAGAGCAATAACTTGATATAAAGTGATAAAGTACATGTCACATATACGATATATGAGTGAAATATATCCATCATTTTTGATGCTTCACAACGATAGGCAAATTAAAAGCTCAAATCCATGAAAACAGTTTTTATTTTGAGTTTTTATTTTTTTTCATTTTTGAAATAATTGTTACAACATTTCTTTGTTTATAAAATTGAACACGAGTAATAAACACAACTTAACAGCGAAAGAATGGGAGGGCAGGAATACTGCTTCAGGAACAGAACAGCCTTTGTAGCACGGCTCCCCCTCCCCTTGTACATATTTCCAATACCGGCCCCCAGCCCATCCTCAACCCCTTACAGCCGAAATCGTAAAAGTAAATATTCAATTGCATACTTCTTGCATGAGATTTTCGCTATGCTTCAGCTTTCATAGTACATATTTTGTGACTATACACCCTGTGGTTAAGGCCCCAAAAGACGATTATTATCTGAAAAACCTCTAAGTAAACACCACTACTTGTTGTATAATATCTCTTCTATAACGGCGAAACTGTGTCACAGCACGAATCTTAAAATCTTTACGATTATTATCTGAAAAACCTCTATAAACAGCACTACTTGTATTACTAAATATCTCTTCTAACGGCGAACATTACTTATCTTCCACTCTAAGACCCTTTGCTTGGAATTTTTTCTCGAGTTCCCTCAGGCAGGAACCCAAGTGTTCTGGACGGCACAGTTATAGCAGAAAATGCAAAATTTTGGTCATAGTCCTTCAAGCATTTAGTCAGGTAATGTACGTAAACATTTCCTGCGTACTTTAGTACTTTTCCACTCTTGTCAGTCCGCTCTCGTACACCCACTGTCTTCACAAGTACTAGGTCACCCTGGTTGAATGCCACTCGGCACTGCTCACATCTCTGTATGTACCAGTATCATTTTTAGGCAGCACCTAAAGACCGAAAGAATTATAGAAAAGTAATGCAAAACAGATTGCAAATTTAGTGTTTTGGGATCACTGTGTTGATGTTGGATTGCCTGTGTTAGTGTGTGGGAAGCCATCTTGCATTGTGATCTCGTCTGGAAATTAAGTCATTGGCTTCATACATTAAGGCAAAGCAAACAAGAAGAAGGAAAACAAAGAAAAAAAAACATTGGATGAATGAATGCAGAATTTATCAAATCAACTGCTAACAACAGTAACATCATGTGAAATTTGAAAAAGCTGATGAAAAAGTGACAAAAAAACAAGAAGTGCACGGTTACAACTCAGCTTCATAACTCATAGATGTACTTACTTTCCATTGAGACTGCTCTCCCGTTGGCAATTTGCTGAGACGCAAGGGTGTCACAACTCTTGGCTGCTTAGGTTGTTCGTCTTAATCAGCATCTGCTTGATCTGAGCTAGTCGATGTAGATGTTGATGGACAGCGGGCATCAAACAGTTGTGGTTCTGGTAGTGTGGCCCTGCTCTTCTTTGATCTTGGATCCCCTTTAAGTCCAGCATTGGTTGGTTTCTTGTGCTTATCGTATGAATTCGGAATAAAGTTGCTGAATGACTGTAAATATTGGCCCCCATCTATTCCAAGTAATGGCATCAACATCAAAATGTTCATAACCTTGAGCTAATGGGTATTTACCAAAACCAGTTATGGCTCTAGATTCCTCAATGTAAAATTTTTCCGTCCACTTCTGAAGGTGTGCCGTTACAGATGCAACCTCTTTTGGGACATCTTCTCTTAGGGCTTTCTTCTGTAGTCTATGTTTAAGTTCAAGCCCATTTGTGTAAAACCTTCCTTCTGTAATAATAATAATAATAATAATAATGATTGGTTATAAAAATGATTTAAAATATTAAATAATGTGATGTAATTAATGATATGCTTTTATAATCCCGGAACAGGAAGTCCAAAACGAAAATGGATGCGAAGGAGACTATAAGCGAACGAGTAAAGCATTTTACAATATCTCCAAGTGACCATGTAATATTCTGTTTATCATATAATTGCCAATAAAAGCAAATTAGGTTTTTGAAATGTGTTATTTTCACTGGTGAAAAATTAAAAAAATTCCAAGTGGAGAAATATATAAAATTATAAAACTTATTAATAATGCATAAGCTATTGCTCCAATAAGGGCTGACCATTTAATCAGGTGATTGACCTTGTAAATCTGATACAACCACTAGTGGTTGTATCAGATTTACAACACGGTCGTCACCATTGAGACAACCCAACACTAGCAAAGGTCTCAGTTTTAGTGTCGCATCATAGACCTTCACTAGGTTTTGAAGCAATCAAAGACGGATAACAGAACTCGCTTATGCAACAGATGGCTTGCTTTCCATGTGGGATGGATAATCATTCAAAATGTTCTGTGTTGCAGTAAATTGCGCATGCTTAATAGGGACTAAACTCAGCAGTTACCTTATTTGTCATTTTTCGTCATTTATCTCACTGTAATTCATGTTAATTTGTGTTGGAGTTTTATAAGTCGTTTACAACATTCGCGTCCGTGTTGTATGGGAATTACAATCTCTCGCCTGCGGCTCGAGATTGTAATTCCCATACAACACGGCCGCTCATGTTGTAAACTATACTTATATGATAAAACATAATTATGGCAGTGATATACCAACCTATTCCAAGAACCTTTCTTGCAGACATAGTTAGACATTCTTTCATAAGGCTGCTTCTGTACCTCTCAAACCACTGAAAAAACCCTGGGGCTAAGGACTCCCAGATTGGTTGAAGACTTTGACATCTTCAGCATCTGTTAATCCACTCTGAACCAATACCTGGTTTTGGGTGCCATAGATATCGGCCAGAATTCGTCTCTGCGTTCTTTCATTGCAACCAAGCGACTTCAACTTCCGTGCATCACATTCCTGTGCATGTTGCCTGCACCACAGCTTTTTGGAATTACGAAAAACATCTGTGAGGCCTTTAGAGAGGGCTGTGTCTAGGTCATAACCCACCTTCTTCACATCTAAAAGCTCAGGCTTGGCAATTACCATCTCTCCAGCAAATCGTCTGTAACATTGTCTGGATTTTTTGAAATGCCAGAAGCTTGGACCGGGAAATTCAGGGTGTTTTCCAGATAAATTAATTAGTGCTTCGTTGGTATAGGTTGAGTCAGTTAACCAAAGTCCCTCCACTAACTCAAGCGTTGTATTGACTCGAAGAATAGAGTTGCCCATTACACAAAAACGGTACAAATCTTCAAGCATCTGCGGTAGAATGTTCACAACAACATAGGATTCTTTTGTAAAGGTAACACTTTCCAAGAGTGTAAGTGTTTGGAGTGTACACACCAGGGTACAGAGGTTTTTACTCGTTCGTCCTTTTACGGTAAACTGAAGGTTACAAGATTACAAAACTAAAAGTTACAAGAAATAAAGATATAATATACTTACAACAAAGGAAAATATACTTACAACAAACTCTGCCCGATGCTTAGACGATAAAGACTGATTACGAAATTACAAACACTTACTTAAATGCAAAAAATAAAGAGTTCCCTAGGGGCGTTATGAAAACATGAATTTGGCTCTAACATGGAGTGATGCAATCAACACTTCTGGTTCGCTGTTCATCTTGGTCTTTGTTGAGGTAGTGGATTCTTTATTCAGTAGATACTTTCTGTTATCTACCATCTTAGGACCATGAACGGTTTGGCTTACTGTTTGGACACTCCGTACTTGGTTGTTTGTCAGATGTGAGTACACTTTATCGCTTGAATGTCCCTTTTGTAGCACAGTGTCGATTTCTTTCAATAGCTGCGGGTCTTTTTTGTAGTAAGAGCTTGTGGTTGGTTTTGAGGCATTTCCATGTCGCGGAACAACAAACGTTTGGTCAGCTCCATTGGCCCATTTGTATATGACCAAGTAAAATGGCTTGAGGTCTTTTTCAGCATATCCCTTTACAGTAACTATTGTCCTGGTGAACTTTGGATTGTTTTTACTGGTATAGTACTGCCTGGTTAATTCATACACATCTTTTTGGGGTACAAAAACGTTTTTGTATCTACCAGCCTCCCTTACATTGATGAACCAAACATCGTTTTCATTCTTGTGTACTGTGCCATGTGAACACTCGTCATTGTATCGGTAGAAAGGTAGATATTCTTTCATCCATCGATACCACACTTTACGAATAAGTTCTTGTACCCGTCTCCATCGTTTTTTTACCTTGCCAGGTGCGTCGACACTTTCAGGAGCTAACTCTCCACCCATCTGTCCAATTAGAAAATGGTTGGGAGTTAAGACCACCTCATCATTATGATCTCCACTAACTGTGGTTAATGGCCTACAGTTTAACAAACTCTCGGCACCGATGATGACTGTCTCAAGCTATTCACCTTTACATCAGCTCCAGACAGCTCTGCATAGATAGCTCGTTTAGCAGCTTTAATCATGATTTCAAAGACACCTCCAAAATGAGGTCCACCAGGTGGATTGAACAACCACTTAACTATTCTGTTACTGGTCATTCGCTGTACTTTCTCTTGGTTGATTTTTTCCACTAACTCTTTGATTTCTCTTTGTGCTCCAACATAGTTTGTTCCATTGTCACTTAGCATAAGCTTGGGCCATCCTCTTCTAGCTACAAACCGTGTGAAAGCATTCATGAATCCATCTGTCTCTAGAGATGCTGCCATCTCCAAATGACAGCAGCGTGTCTGAAGACACACAAATAAGCAAAGATAACGTTTCAATCGGGCTTTGCCGCGCCCTTGCATGTTGTAGAATGGTCCAGCAAAATCTGTTCCGCAGTTGGTAAATGGCTTCTCCGTAACTTCTAGACGTACACGAGATAACGGGGCCATCTGTTGGTGAGCTTTACATCCTCTGTGGCACCTAGAGCATTCCGCACATTCTTTTATACATCTCTTTACTTCTTGTCTACCGTGAATCACAAAGTACTTCTCTCGTAGGTGGTTTAGCGTGTAATTTACTCCCATCACGTGTCCCTCTGTTTCATGAGGATACTTGATGATCAACTTAGTTACTGCATGCCCTTTGGGGAGCAATATGGGATACTTAACATCATCTTGTAAATCCTCTGAATACCGTAATCTTGTATTAGCACGAAGGACGCCGTCCACTAAAATTGGTGTAAGAGTCAGGATACTGCTTTTCTTTGTTAGAGGTTTGAGTTGTAGCTCTGATTCTTCCAGCTCTTCTACTGTTAGTTCGTTACTTCTGTTTCTATCTTCCAGTTTCGTCCGGACATTGTTGATAAACCGTTTCATCCATCCTACCACTCATACTAAGGAGACGCCAATCTCTAACTTCCTCTTGGGGTGTGTCTTGTACCACTTTGAGTACTTGTTTACATCTGGTCTTGGTTCTTGACGTTCTGCTGCAAGATAAGTAAGATGTTCTTGTTGATCTGTTTCATTGCAACTAGCTGAAAACTTTACTCGTTTATCAGATTTCACTTCCCTTTGAGCATCGGGGGCACTTCCAAACTTCCTGGTAGGCCATTCACCTTGATTTTTGTAAAAATGAGGGACCGTTCCACCAGGTCTCATCAGTAGACAGTTCATATGCGGACAATCCTCTCGAAGCTTTGTTCATTTTGGTGGGAACATACCTTCATTGGTCGGGGTTTGACTCTTCATGAATCTCACGTACTCTGTGAGCCACAAATGGTTTGTAGTTACGACTCTGTCCTTGTATCCAGCATCCAACATTGTCACTGTCGACTCAATAAGTGACTTTGTCTAAGGACAGTTCTAGTGCTGAGCATACTTTCTTTGTTAGTCGCTGTCCTGCTAGCGCTCCCATGAGTTCTAAGCGTGGGATGCTTACTGCTTTTACTGGTGCTAGTCTACTCTTCGCTGCCACTAATTGGACACTGACAGTTTCAACATCATATTCATGTCGTGCGTAGATTGCYGCAGCRTAGGCTTTGTCAGATGCATCACTGAAAGTATGAACAGTAATGTCCTTTACTTCTTTGTCGTTTCTCAARCATCGTTGTATTGTGATCTTGTCTAACATCTCCAGTTCATCGAACCATTGTCTCCACTTTCTCTGTAGATGATTTGGTAGTTCTTCGTCCCAGCCCAGAGATGACATCCATGCTTCTTGCATCAGTAGTTTAGCACGTATAACATAAGGTGCTAGAAATCCAAATGGGTCGAAAAYAGTTRCAACTTTCTTTAAGACGTTGCGCTTTGTGAAAWTAAACTCTGTCGAMRGTGCTGTGTAATGAAATGTCATTTTATCATCTTGAACTGTCCACAAAACTCCAAGAGTCTTGGTAGATTGAAATTCATCTCTTTCTAAATTAACTTCCTTACCTCTATCAGCTACAGGGATGTCTTCAATCACTTCTGATTTCTGTGAGATCCACTTGCGAATGTGGAATCCTGCTTTGTCACCAAGTTCTGTGAGTTGGCGACGAACTTCTTTGGCTTCTTTGATTGACTTCACTGAACACATGACATCGTCCATGTAACAATTGTCTTTGACTGCTTTACTAGCTAGTGGGTACTCTTGTCCATGCATCTCAGCATGTCGTTGCCACACATATTGGGCACAAAATGGACCATAACATCCTYCAAAGATAAGTCTTGAGAATTCATATACTTCTGGCTCTTGGTGTGGGTTAAGATCCCGCCACAGAAAACGATGTAGAGGGCGATCTTCAGGTAACAAAATTACTTGGAGATACATTTGGCTTATATYCCCAAYAAGWGCAATCAGTTCCTTGCGAAATCTGATCAGTATATCAAGAATGTCAGTYTGYAGTTTTGGTCCAGGAAGTGCTACTTTGTTTAAACTCATGCCGTTGAACTCTGCTGAAGCATCAAATACAATTCGGGTTTTTGTAGTCGTCTTCTCTGGTCTGGTTACTGGAAAGTGTGGTAAAAGCCACTCATTTYCTGGTTTTCGCTCGTCCATKGGTACTCTTCGTATGTATTCCTTCTCCAAGTATTCATTGATTACTTCTTTATATGCACCTGCTACTTCTGGACTAGTAGCCAACTTTCGTTCAGTTGCTTTCAATCGCTGTTCAGCTAGATGTCTGTTGTTTGGTAGCTTTGGACTATCATCTTTCCATGGTATCGCCACTGCATAATGTCCATCTTGATATGCCAATGATTGTGATACTTTCTTCAGTGCTAATGATTCTTCCGGACTCATTGCTGGGCCAGATRGTGTGATTCCCATTGTATCCAGATCCCAAAACTGTTTAAGTCTTTCATTCAAATCAGCTGACATCTCACTATTCACACTCTGAATGTGATAGGTGTTGCACATCTTGGTATTGTAGTCCGATTGGATCTGTTGGGTTTCTATACATGGCCTATTGCGGTCCATCCTAGAGGGCAACGCCTTGCGTATGGCTAATCAACTCTTCCGATTATCTCCTGAATTGGGTATATGAGATGATAATTGTCAGCTCCTAACAAAATGTCAATTTTTCCTTTGTTTGTTACTGGAAAGAATGGTATGTCCCTCAAATGCTTGTAATTATTCTTCTTACTGACCCAGCTTTTATTCCTCCACAGATGTTAACAGATGTCTTTGCTTTGATAATGGTGTTGACCTGGTTATCTAGACTGGCTATGCCGATACTGAATGTCATTGAAGGGAAGCTTACTTGTTGCGCATTTTACATATTCTTTGTTTTCCAGATAAATATATTCGTCAGAGTTATTATCAAAAACTTTTATTGATATAGGAGAGGGTAGTTTTTTTTCTGGTAGGGTCGGAAGATGACAAAGTTCAATTTCTTAATATTTAAAGTTAGCTTGTTTGCACATAACCAATCATACAAATTAGTCAACTCATTGTTAACTGTGCGTTCAAGGAGTTTAGAATCTTTGTTTGCATAGAGCAAATTGGTATCATCAGCAAAGAGGAAGAATTTCATTTTAGTTGATGCCTTAGTAATGTCGTTGATATACAGTAAGAATAGCAGCGGTCCAAGAACGGAGCCCTGTGGAACGCCACAGGGACTCAATTGCTTGTCACTAAAGCAACTATTTATTTCGGAAATTTGAGTTCTATTCGAGAGATAAGACTTAAACCAATCATTTACTATTCCTCTTATTCCAAATACATCAAGTTTCTTTAACAAAATGGAACAGTTAACAGTATCGAAAGCTTTTTTTCAGATCAATAAATACAGCACAAGAGAATAGTTTTTTTATCCATATTATTTTGAATGGAGCTGAATATATCTAGAATTGCATGACTTGTGGAGGAGCCTCCTCGAAACCCATATTGGGTATTGTCTAACAGATCATCTTTTTCAATAAAAATAATAAGGCAACTATACATTAGCTTCTCAAATATACGATTGAAGATTAATAGGAAAGAGATTGGTCTATAGTTGTTAGGGTCTGTTTCATCATCAGCTTTAAATATAGGAATAACTTTTCCTGTTTTCAATTTAGAGGGATACTTGCCTGTTAGTACTGAAGTATTGAATATCTTAGTAAGTGGCTTACATATGAAGAGTTTTGCGGATTTGAGTATCGAGATAGGGCAAGAATAAAGACCATGTGATTTATTGTTAGGGATCATCATAATTTGTTGCTAAACTTTTTAGTAATGGGAGCGATGGGAGCAAAGAAAAAGGATTGTTTTTGTTTAATATCTCGGAGGTAGTGGGCAAAGTGAGAATTTGAATTTGGTACTTTAGATGCCAGTTTCTGCCCTACGGATGGAAAGTGTTTATTAATTCTATCAGGTAATTTTCCCTTATCACGAATAAGTGTTGCCGAATCAGAGTCTTAAAAGTGCAACTATTGATTTATTGGCTTTACTGTTGCTAATTAACAAACGAAAATTTCACAATAGAGCTTTTCCGCACAATGACCTTACAAGTGTGAAGTGTGAGTTCATGACCTTGTACATGTAAATGAGGGTATTAATATGGAAAAAATAAAAGATCTTAAAAGCTTATACAATCAATTATTAGAAATGTGAATATTCAAGCGTAAATGTTTAGTATCATTAGTAGTATCTAAATTGTTATTAAATTTTGATACCGTTATCAATTTCTTAACATTTATTCAAACAATAATACATCGGTACTCTGCATATGCTGAGACAAAATTGTAAACATATAWCAAGTTTTATTTTTAAATCAAAGTTTTATTTGTAAACCTTACAAATCATCAAGTTTGCGATCARGTTTGGCCATAATATTGTTCAWTACCCCCATGCTGGCCATAGCCTGTTSGCACATCTCCTTGTGTGCTTTCTGTGCATCGGCTGCAATTTCCCTRAAGGATTGCTTTTTCGGGCGAGGAGGTTGAATTTCATCGTCATCGCTAGTCGACTCGTCGTTTGGGTCTTTAAAATGACTCATTTTATCTTCTTTTCTTTGTAGTGGTGTTCGCTTATGGGCATATCGCATTTGTCGCTGCACGKTCTCCYCTGCTAAAGTAGCTTTCTTCRCATAATTTTCGCTTCCTGGCATCTTCACCTGCGAACTTGCTTCTTTGAGAGCCTCGTTGACAATCCTCTTCATCCTTCTTTTCACTTTCTCTTTCTCTCCATTGAGGTAGTAGTCAACGACGCGAGAATTCAAAGTAAACTTTTGAACATTATGTCTGACGTGACGCACAACAGCGTCCCAGCCCTGGCTCATCTTTCCATTGTAAGCTTCCAAAATCAATGTTTTTTCGTTTTCTGTTACTCTAATTTTCATGCGTTCATTCTTTTCCGAAGAGTGTTGAGGTTTTAAGTCTTCTTCTGTATCAGATGGTGTATCGAAAGGCCTCCAAAAGGTTGACATTTTTTGTGCTTTGTCTCAACGAGTGYTTTGACGAGTTGAACAGTTTATCCAAATGAGCTGTTACTCCATTTTATATTGAACGGGTGACATTTCAGCATGTTCCGAGCGTGCTGCAGTTGAGAACATTATCAAAGAGGTTTTGTTTTGTTGGTGACTTGTAATTAACAAGTATTGTTTGGAAATTAACAGAATTTGTGCCATTTTGTTGTGCGTATTAACAACAMTGCCGCAATTGTTGTGAAGTTGTACGTGTAGAAACAAAGACAATTTTTTCATTTGCGTATTTTGTGTRTTGAGCGACGACAAGAAGAATGTTTGTATTGAATCTATAGAAGAAGCTATTCATCGGGGTCATGRACAGAGACAAACTTCATGTTTTGTCATTAATCATTTTTGTTTCACAACAGAYGATGCGCTGTATCACGATGATACCTCTTCCGCCCCATGAATCTTTGGTTTTAAGAGAAGAACATGTTCATTTTATAGGCATTTGCGTTCAGTTTCTGGGACAAATTATAGCTTTGATGACATCGTTGGCACC